TAATATGATCCAATCCACAAAAAAGAGAAAGGATTAAAAGAAAAAAGTAAAGAGGGAGAGAGAGAAAAAAGGGGGAGAGAGAGAAAAAAGGGGGAGAAAGAGTAAGGGACAAGAAAAAGATACAATAAAAGTTGTTTGTTATAATGTCATTATATGACTAGGAGAAAATTCTTATATTTTCTGATACATTATTATACATTTATAAATGTTCTTATGTGTGTAAATGTACATGTGTGTCTGGACAAGTTCAAGAATATAAATGCATTATAGAGGAAAAAGGAACAAGAAAATAACAAGAAAGGAAGAGATAAAGATAGTAGAACTATCATAATAATTCAGTTTCCTTAATAGTCCAATGTGTTTGGTATGAGTTGTCTTTGATGATAATAAAAAAAAACATCAACTTCTCCTTCAGTTATGAGCCTCTTGATTTGAGGGCACATGCAAAGGAAAGCACCTGATCTATATGCATCAACATTGTTATGTGTGTCACCATCAGTAATGTATCATTGTATAAAAACTTTATAGGCACACATTTTTTAATTGAAGAAAAAAGAATAAATATTGCATGCATACATGTATATTCTCATACATGTCAAGATTCTAAACATGAGGATTACATGTACATCCTCTTTTAACGTCAAATAGATAGATGTCAATTTGGAGCAACTTTAAAAATTCATAAAAATCCAATTTTGATCGGGATCAGCTCAAACTTTCTACTCAACATAATTACTTGTATATGCATCATTAAAAAATAAAATAAAAATGGAGAATTCTCTCCTAGTCGTTTTTCGACGAAATACCCTGGACTATAGTTTATGGACTGTGGTTATTGTTATTTAAACATGTAACACATTCACAATTATTAAAAAGTTTGTTCTCATAATTATTATATTATGATATAGCAATACAAAAAATGTATAAAGTGTGTTAATTGATTAAAACAAATAAAAATAAAAATTCAAAGCACAAAATAAAACCAAAATAAGGGAAAATTAAAAACACTTTTTATTCCAATATAACGTAGCTATACTTCTTAAGTAGTGAAGTTTGAATAAGTCTCAAATGAATCCAAGTAGGTCAGTACAATCTGAAATATTCCTTGATATTGTTGCTAAAAAAGAACAATATGCAAAAATATATTTATACAGATTATTAATTTAAAGTATACTTACAACAGTCTGTACACTGCCTGGTTTTTGAATACGTTGACTTTTGAGTACTTGAAATACATCAATGACTCCTTCAGTTTTACATTTATTAATTGTTGTAGCAGCTGCACAAAACATTGCTGAACGACTAACTGTATCACTATAAAAAAGGAAATTAAAATTAATATTTAAATCACATTTCTTTCTCACCTGCAGTGTACTACAATGCTTGTGTTTCCTCTTTTCCTTTGTGTTCTGTACATTTCTTCTATTACCATCAGTATAGTCTGAGGGTTAGTCAACTTTCCAGTTAAATCCCAATTTGTTATCTGATACTGCGTTACACTCTGTGTAGCACCAGTCTATACAAGAATTAATACATGCATGTACGTAGCATTATGTATATCTTACATTATTATTTTTAACTTCAAACTTTCTTTCGATATATCCATTGAAAGTTTCTTC